CTCCAGCTGCAGAAAAGCCAGGGCTGAATTTTGTTGGCAATTCTGTTAGTGCTGCTGCCTAAACCATCTATAGAGAGAGTGACAGCACCGTAACTCCATGTTGACTCCCAGTCCTGTGCCTTCCCACGCCAACGCCCTTTTTGTCTCCCTTCTCAAGAGCCAAGCTCCACAAGCGTGACTCTAATCTCCTTCAGCGAACAGATCAAGTCACTGCTGTGCCTGGGACACCGAGAGCCCCCGCCTCAGGCCCCCTTTCCCATCCTGCTGTTCTTAGAACATTAACAGACAAAAGAGCCTCTTGGATACCAGAAGGGTCTGTACCTAGAGGTCAGAGCCTACAAGCAATCTTCCCATTTCACTGCTACTTCTAGAAGGTGCCATTTTCAACTCTACTGAGTAGGCTCAGCTGAAAAACAGAATAGAAAGGGTTCAGCGTGGTGGTGGGGTGCCAAGGAGAAGGGGGTAAGAGGAGAGGTGGGGAGGACTGAAGAAAAAAAGCAAGAAAATTAGAAACAGAAGTCAGAGAGAAATAAAGCATTGAGCTATAGGCAGAAGTAAATAATGGAGAATATAGATTTTGGAGTCAGACAAACACGGGTTTGAACCCTGGCAGCCCAGTGGAACTTCAGTCTCCTCATCAATAAAATGGGGACACAGTGGAGACCTCAAGGGCTGATGTGTGGACTGTGTGGAGTGTGACAGGCCAAGCACTTAGCTCGGGAATGGAGAAAGAGTAGGTGCTTGGCTCACGCAGCTATTGCTACTGTTTATGAAGGAAGGATCCTTGGAGAGTCCAGTAAGGAGCTCTGGTGGTGCAGTGCCTAAGGCATTTGACTGCTAACCAGAAGGCTGGCAGTTCAAACCCACCAGCCACCCTGCAGAAGGAAGATGGGGCAATCTACTTCCGTAAAGATTAATTTCCTGGGAAACCCAATGGTGGTACCTATGAGTTGGGATGGACTTAATGGCAGTGAGATTGCTTTGTTTTTTTGGTGGAGAGTCCAGTGTGGGCTTCTGCTGCCACCAACTGGCAGCATGTCTTATAACATCTTTGGCCTCAGTGGCCTCTCCTGGAAGGGGCCCTCCATCTCAATGGTTATGATTCTGAGACAGATGGGGGGAAAGCTGGAGAAACAGAAGCCACTAGCAAGCGGCAGTCTGAGTCAGAACATGGTACCCAACAGCCCCCAGGGGAGAGAACTTGGAGTGCACCCACTCTTCCACCCCCCAGGGGAGAGGACTTGGAGTGCACCCACTCTTCCACCCGCCAAGACAGTCATGATACAAAGCACAGATGCAGGAGGTTTGGAGAGTTTTCTCTCTTTTTTAAGATTATTTATTCTTCATTTGTCCTCATAACGAAAATAGATTTTTAAATGCCTCAAATATACAAACATCATTGATACACACGTATTCTAGAAACGCTGAGGTAAGTGCTGCTGCAGGGGTGGGAGCGCGAGATGCCCACAGTCTGGGAACCCACCTGGGGTCTGCGGGTAGATGTCCACTGGCCAAATGTCACAGGGATCCCCAGAGAGAGCTGAGGGCCTCAGGGTGAGGTTCTGAGAGGGACCGTGATGGGCAAGCTTCCTGAAACTAGGAGGAACTGTGGTGGACACACTTCCAGGCCCTCCTTGGGCCATCTCCATCCCAGAGGGCCCATGGGATAGGCCTCTCTCATCCCTGGAGCCCTATATCCTGACAAACCCAATGGCCCCAAAATACCCCACTGACCACCAGAGCCTAGGGGCAAAGGTCTCCAGCAATGTGCTTCCAGAGATGTCCCAGAGTTGTGCTTGTCTCAGATGGAAGAACAGGTTTGTGCCAGGGACCCAGGCCTTTTCCCTTCTATACGGCCTCCTCAAGACAATCCAAGACCAGGAAAACTCCTCAGGTTAAAAAATATACATCCATTTGTATACAAAATGCATATTATTAGCTGGGGGTGGGCAAGCTCAGGCTCAGGAGAGACTCCCAGAGAGTCTATCTGGACAGAAGGAGGTCTTGGTCCCAGCATCTCCATGAGGACGCTGTTCCCCTAGGAAGTTGCTTCTCCTGACAGCCAAGCTGATGCCCCTCCATTTGTAAACTCCAACACTGAGGAGGCTGGGCCTGTGCTGGAGGGAGACCCTCCAGTGAGGGGTCTACAGGAGCCTGCAGGGTGACTGTGGCCTCTGGGGGCAGCAGTGGGCTTCCTGTCCCACCTGCCCATTCATCCATCTCTGCACCTCAAGTCACGTCAGAAGAGGCAGGAGCCCCGCAGGCTGCGGGCCTGGCGAAGGTCGGCTGACAGGGAGCGGCTCATCTGCTTGGTGGTGAAGCGGACGCTCTCGGCAGCCTGCACAGCTCGGTTCAGCGCCTTGTTGAGTTCCTCCAGGCTGGCCAGGTCTAGCTGGACGGAGTGCCGGTGCCCCGTGGCCGGCCGGGAGGAGGCTTCAGGGGGCCACTCTGCAGATGCTCGGGCTGAGGGGGCTGAGGTAGGTCCTGGGGGCACATAGTACCTGAGGGGAAAAGTAAGTGAGTCAT